AGATTTTAATTACAGCCAGTTAGATCAGGTCTACAGGAATGTAGGACGCCCATGTTCAAGATAAAAAAGACAAGCTGAAGAGCAACTTGTCAGCTGTCAATATACCTCATAATATCCTCGAGGCCATTTAGCCTTGGAATGGGTAGAATGGAGATCAACATGTTTCAGCACACTCAGCAGTTTTCAATCTGCTTTTCTGAATTGTCTTCAAGAAGCGAGAGCAAGATCTAAAAAGGTCATTTTAATCTAACAGGGATCTCATCCCACAATCCTCACTCTTGCCTCATATGCAGCTTAATTTTGTAAATCACTAGTGGGTCTTGAGTCAACTAATTAAGATTGCTTCAAAAATTTCATAGTTTGATTATCAGATAATTTACATGGAAACCCATACGAGAGTCCATTATTATTATTATATATAAAAATGATAAAATACAGTTTTAAAGTATGCTATATGTATCCCTTTAAAGAGTATGTCAACACCAGAAGCGACAGTCTGTTTCATATTTAAAACACAATCGTCAGACCAGATATATGTGTCTGTGTATTATAACTGTAAACATTATATCGATTAAGAAATAATGTCAGATTTTCATACATTAATTACTTAAATTGATATATATATATATATATATATATATTTATATTATATATTTTTAAAGACATTTTTATGTTTAACGTTCTTTTTATAGATATAAGTATTTAAGTAAATGCTCTGTTTATAATAAACAGTATTAAATAACATTTACCGCCTGAATGTCCGATTGGTAAGGCACGCCAGCATAAATGACGGTTCCGTATAGGATGCAGGTTCGAATCCTGTCAAAGAACAAATTTATTTTAAAATGAAAATTTCATCGGACATTCAGGCCGGAAAATGTTATTTAATACTGTTTATTATAAACAGAGCATTTACTTAAATACTTGTATTTAGAAAAAGAACCTTTTAAACAAAAAATGTCTTTAATAAATAAATTGTTGGACTTTGTCAATTTGGTTAATATATATATATATATATATATATATATATATATATGTGTGTGTGTGAAATATGTGAGTGGATTGTTTATATGTATTTGTATAAGACATGTGCATTTATTAATCTCTTAAACAAATGTAGGCACAGCTCAGTTAAATTTTAAGTTAAGTAAACCATGATATGCAACAATTATTGTAAATTTGAATGCCATCAGTAATTCAAGATAAATGGCTTTGCATATTGCATACCCATAGCTTTGGGGAAAGATATGAACAAATTTCGTTTAATTTCAATAAAATATTGAACAAAGAAATAATTTAGTTAATTATAAACTTAAAGATGAAAATTAATACAGTAGATAAAACTTATTTATCTTCAATGATTTATAAAATTAAAAAACAGAGACACTGATATTCAAATTTGTTATATCAGAAAAAACATCAAATTTTTCAATGCAGAAGTTGATATTTTGAACAATAGTCTTTGTGTTGTCCACATGTGTTCATTTATTTTGCAAATTTATAAAATTGTGTTTGAATCAAATCTACAATCTTTTATGATGATTGATAAATTCAGCTGACATGCCTGCATTAAAGTTTGATTGAAGCCCTGAAAATCTGCTGCTTTCATTTTTTAATTGCCATGTCCCTTAATTTATGCCATTCATGGTCCTCCATAGATTCTTTTCCATTTAATATATCTTTGAATTACCATAAATTCTTGGGAAAGATAGTGTAATGGCTTCCTGTTGGCTTTATATAGTTTTGAATTCAGGGGTCTAGTCCTTCACCCTAAACTGGCAGCCAACCAAAGCTAGAGAACTCAGTCTCTCCTACTATTTGGCCCATAGTTATGAAGAGAAGAAATGGATTCAGATTTTCCTAAAGAAATGAATAAAAAATGAATGCACAACCCTAGGCTTCATATAAAAAATACTTTTTTATTAAAATATTAAATAAAGAATTTGATGAGAATTTTGAAACTTATTAGTATCAAATAACCCAACCATTATGTAAGATAAAGCCTAAAAAATAAAAGCAATGATAATTTAAATTTATTATTCACTATTGCATTTATTCAATTATATTTTATTTGATAAATTATTGTAGTTTGAAAGCATAAAATAAAAAATGAACCAAGTCTGAGTGTATCAATTAAAAAATAAAAGGGTCTTGGTATTTTGAATCTCATCACCAGGATCTTTTCTCATCCATCCTTATTCTCCAAATCTCCTTCTTCCTCTGTGTCTCTGACAACCTTTCTTGTATGTCCTTTTTTTTTTTCCTCTCCAACCAGCACGTTGCTTTGTAAAGTTCATAAATTGCCAACTCCTGTTTTCGGTCAAGTTTTATAATTTCTTTTTCCTTCTCATAATTCATCTTTTTCCCCAATTTGTTATAATGTCTCTATAAAAGAAATCAACTGTCACCACTTCTTCTTGACCACAAGATAAGTGACATCCCATTTTTTCTTCTTAATTTCATTCAAACTATAATTCTATTTCCACAAGTGGTAAAAGGTTCATGTATGCAACACATGCACTGCATGCTTTAGATTTTTTTCCAGGATAAATAATTTGGGGTAATAAAAATTAATTATTCATAATATTTACAATCCTACTTGCAATTATGGCCATTTTTTAAATATCCTTTCTTATAGTAAAGTGTGAACAAGCATATTTATTTAGTAGAGTAGTATTAGCAGTACAAGCTAAGAAAAGACCCTGATTCTGTATGCCACTCCCATGCAAGTTCTATACATAGGTACAGAGAATTTGGGAGAGCTTGGAGTGAATGAGAACAGAAGAAACTAAGTAGAGTTAGCATTGTGCATCTCTTTCCATGAATGGGTGTAAGGAGGTGCATTATGACAAGGCACCAAGAGGATTAGGCAGCCAAGGCAATTTTGGGAATTACATCTAGATTGTTAAACACAACTGAAGACTGTCGGAACTAAAAGGGTTATTTCATCAGTAATTGACCTGCTGAAAAAAAGTCCATGAAATTGCTTTTTATTAAAACCTGTCATTATCATGGATATTTTTTGGCTGCAATGCATGTGTTTATCAGACTGGATGCCAAAACTATTTTTGCTTTATATCACCCACCTCCCCAGTGACTTTGTTGGTGTTTGCTCTAAAATAATGTAGTGAACTACTGCAGAGGACAAAAGGCCCAGGGTTGCATGAATTTTTTTTGCAACAGTCAATGTAACACTAGAGAAAATGGCTTTTCCAGGATGAAAAATGATTTGAAAGTGTCTTGCAGCACACTGCCTGAAAAGGAAGCATAGCAACTTCACTAGGGTGAACATTAAAAACAGATAGATCCCTGAGTTGGAGAACACTTGTGTTTTGGCTGTCAATGAGGATATAAAAAAAGGGGTATAACAGGCAGAACAGTTACTGTTTTGTTAAATGGGAGACACATGTTGTCAATTCAGTGGAATGGTTGACTAAAGGAAATGGATTGCAGGAATTTTTTAGAAGTCAGAAGAAATTTTTTCAAGTATGAAAAAAAGAAATAATAGTAGTAGTAGTAGTAATAATAAAATTTTTCCTATTAAAATTTAAAATAATTTTTGTCATAAGGGTACATTAAATTTTTTTGTGATATACCAACAAATTTGCATAGCAAATTGAAGCTTATCTCAATATGAGGGTAGGTGTCAAAATGGCAGTTTAGATGAGTAAGAGAGAGCAACATAATTCTAAGCTGGAACTTGCAATGAGTAGACCAATCAGTCAAAAGAAAATAAGAGAGCAAGGTCAAAAGGCAAACAAAGAGAAAGACACACACACACACACACACACACACACACACACACACACACACACAAGGCAATTTGGACTTTAAAAAGTAAAATTGTAGATTTTAAATAGCAGAAAAGGAGACATCAACAAAAGGTTATCAACTTCCAGACAATGATCTATATAGTATAATCAACATATTATACTATAAATGATCTATTTTTTAATTAAAAAGTAATTTAATTTTTATAACAAAAATCATTAAAAACCTATACAAGTGAGGTGGATAGTCACAAGACTAAACTTCCCTCCCCTCCATTAAAAATTTTGTTTTCATCTAAATTTGAACATTACAGACTTTTCTTACTATTACATTTCTATAACCATAAGCTAATATCACTGATACTCAAAAATATCCTCAAAATATAAAACCAGATTTTTAAAAAGGTGATATTTTTATACTCCTGCTGGTTTGCCAATCAAAATAAAAAGAAACAATGTGAATGATCTTGATCATTAGCCTTTCTTAGATGTTTTTGCCTTGCTCATCCATACCCAAATTTTCAGTCTTACCCTCCCAATCAATCTCTCACTACCCAACTTTTGTGGGGTACTCAGGTTACTGACAAAATGAACAGTCACTGCCTCATCCAACCCACCAAATCTTTACCTATACCTCCACACACACACACACATTTTATGTGGTCAGGAAAAAAAATCCAGTTTCAGTGTGGATTTGGGGGCAATTTTCTGCAAATGTATTATTTAATATATATTACACTATGATAAATTTTCTCTGACACACACACACATATATATATATATATATATATATATATATATATATACACACATACATACATACATACATACACACGCTCTTTCTTTACCAAAAAGATGTTGGTGGTTGTTGTTGAAGTGAGGAGGGAGAGTGAAACCAGAATGTAAATATCAGAAGTGCTGCTGCTATTGTTGTTAGTAGCAATAATGGTGGTGGTCAGTGTCTGTCTTGCCTTGAATTTAAAAATGGCTGAGTGTTCCAATACCAAATATTAATGCAAATAACAAAAAAAAAAAAAAATTTGTTTTCATTTGTGAAGCAGGAGGAACAAGAATCACAGATGCTGCTGTTAAAAAAATTTTTTTTTTTTTTTAATGTGGTATAGTTCATTTTATTGTCAAACACCTTTGCTGTTGTTGTCCATCTGCCCACTGCCAAGAGTCAGAACAATTCATGAAGGGTTGATTGGTCAGTGATTCAACTAGAAATCTTCAGTCAACACCTTCAAAGCCTTGTGTATTCTCCACTGCCATTATTAGTTTTTTACGAAGCTCTTGATAAGTATCATAAGGTGGCAGGTCCAATCGATTGAAGCTAATAAAAAAAAGAAAAGAAAACAGTTTGAGATTTTTTTTTGTGCAAGCACATGCAATATCATTCACTCAATCTACAAGAAATTAGATACCCATGAGGGATTGGTTCTTGGAAATTAAAATCCAAATACTTAGCCCTTATATAAAATGGCAACATTTGCATATAACTTATTCACTTATGCTTGTATACTTTAAATAATCTCAAAATTACACATACATTTAAATTATTGTTATTTTGTAGGTATGAACAAAAAATGACATGTGAAAAAAAAATTGTATAAAAGTAAATTTTATTAAAATGTTTGTGCTGCCAGTAAGATTGGAGAAACTTCTGATATAAACATTTTAGTGAACAATATAAAACTGGAAATATTTAATGAAAAGTGATAGTATGTAAAGTTGTTTATCTGTAAGAATAAAAAATGAAAATCATAATAATTTGCATTAGAAAATTATTAAGCAAAACCCACTGAGTAAAAATCTACCAGAAATAAAGTAATTATTAGGTTTTAAAATATTTGGTGCAGATACATTCTTCTGAACAAGATTAATTATTAACAGACTAAACAAAAAAAAAAATTGTGTTTTCACATGAAACTACTTGGATGTATTTAATCAAGTAATAAATACCCACCAGGTGTGAGCACGGGGAAGTTGCTCCGGGTTCCCCCACTTCTCAATGGTGAACAGTTGCGGTCCGTTGCTGCCATACATTTCAGAAAAGCCATTCATTGGTACTCGTGAGGTTCCAGTCACAAACTGGAGCAGACGGGCCCGCATCTCATTATTAAAAGAGTAGACACACTGGAAAGTGAAAAATAGAACATTGTAGTATTATCATTTAATAAAAATACTTGCCAACCAATTTGATAACAGATGTGCCTGAATTTACAGAATTGGAATTGAAAATGTTACTATACTTAGGAAAAAATAGCAAAGACTATTTGAAGGATTTATTATATTATTCCCTATTCTGATTTTAATTACATGACATCAGAAAATGGATTCAATATGTGGCCATTATTTGTATTCGATTTATAAATACATTTAACAACAACAAAATTATGTGTCATTATGCTACAATGACTTATATAATGGTCAAACAATCCAATATGTACAGTTGTAATATCTTTGCAATATAAACCAGTAGACTAGGCACAAATTTAGTCCACTTTTATGAGGATAAAGTTTCTCAGAAAATTAGAATGAAAAAAAAAAAAAAAATTTAAACTCACAAAACAGATTTTGATACAGTTGATAAATATACCCCCACCCAAAATTTAATAGCCAACATTTTGTAAATGACTTAAATATTTGAGAATAATGATTATTAAAATGATTAGAGTTTAAAAAAAAAAAAAAAAAGAAAAAAAAAAGTTATATGCTCCAGTCAATTTCATGATATTTCACTTCAATTACACCAGACTTATTCTTTATTTTCCCAGAACAATTGACATGCCACCATTTTTGTTTGTATACATTAGAAGCAACATTATGTACAATTCCTCTAATAAATTGAAATAAAGGAGGATGGTTAGATTTAAGCTACTGTATTTGGTAATATTTGTGGCCTAATTAGTATGGCAGCTGCTCAAAGCAGGTTTCACAAAGATAAGAAAATGTAAATGTATATATTGTCTGAAGCTGATCATTTATGATCTGCACTGCTTACTAATGACTAAAGGATGATAGTTTGGGAGTTGTGAAAAAATAAGAAAATATTAGTCAACATTGACAATACTTCATCTAATAAATTAAAATTATATTCTTCTTGAACATTTTTTCTGTAAGACAATTATGAAGACAGAATGTGCTTAATTGTTTAAAAAGGACAAGTAAAGCCTTATAAAGATGGGATTAGAATTTCACTTGAAATTCAACTGTAGCTTATTTTCCCTTCTCAGTTAACTAGAGGTTAATGTGAGAATGAGGACAATCATTGTCTTGAAAACAAGGTTTTTATTTTGTTATAATTGAAATGTTACTCTAAATAAGAAGAAAATAAATATTTATTATAGAAAGCACTCACCTTCCAGAAATGGATGATGACCGGATGATTCTGATTGTACTCCCCTTTGTATGCTGTGTTCCTCTTCCAATCATTGACATCAATATCTTGTAATCCACACATGAGTAACTAAAAACACACAGAGACATCACAACTTTTATAGTGCCAATATTAAACCCTTTAATGTTATAAAGGGAATCTTAAGTTTATGTAATGTGATGATTGTTCAGTAATTTCAAAGGTCTCAATTGAGCAGGAAGTTGAAGGTAAGGGGATTATTGGTGATTTATAAAGAGAAATGAGGACACCCAAAATTTTCTTTACTATAAATAGGAACACTATATTCTTTACTTCCCTGGACACTAAACATTACTAATTCCTGATTAATATTGAATAACAGCTTAGAGAGAGAAGTCTAAGATATTATGAAAGAAGGAAATCCAAACTTTGAAAGACTAAGACTTTTTTTTTTTTTATTTCATAAAAAAAATGCATAAAACTTGCTTGATTGTGACTCTGGATGATTAAGTTAAAGAATCTTTCAGGTTTGTCATCTAGTTTTAAATATATTTTTCTATAATATTCTTTTGTAGCTTAAAGTATTTATCAATACACTGACTACTACTTCTGCCAGATAGCACAATAATCGATATATTCTAAAAGATTCCAATATACATATGCATGGCGTTGATGTTCATATTTGTGAAAATCTCCTGATTGCAAGGTAATTGTCTCTTGAGTCCCCAGATGATTCTTTCATGTTCTTTCAACTTTCATTATCTATCTTGTTTTCCTTTATCACTCTCCTTCTTAGGACTGTAATATATTAATCAAAATTTCTGATAATATAGAAATGGTGCTCTTTCTACATTTACCTGTGAATATTTTTGTGTTTGGTGATATTAATGCTCATCACATCAAGTGGCTTAAGCATTCAATGTAACTGATGTCTTTCAGTCAAATAGTGCATTTCGCTATAAGTCTCCATAATAAATCTGATCAACATTCTTTAATTGATTTGTCCCTTACCTGCTCTTCAAGCTCTTGTAGAGCAACACAAATCTGTCCTTTTGGCAATTCAGATCATACTGTAGCATCTATTGATATTTCAGCCATCTATTGAGTCATCTATTAGAAAGGAACATCCTATTCACAAGACTTCTTTTTGTTACCAGCATACTGATTGGGATTCATTTCATGACTTTATTTAAGATGCCCCTTGGATTGATATTCTTAACCATTCTATTGAGAATTATGTCACAGAGGTTTCTTTTAGGGTTAAAGCCAGTAGTGATGCTTTTGTACCTTATCACAAATACCAGGTGAAACCACAATCTTCTTGATTCACACCAACCTGTTCATCCAATATAGCCCACAGGAATAACTTTTTACGGGTATACCAGCGTGATAATTCCAGTCACAACAGAGGCTTATTTGTGTCTTCTTGAAATAATTGTAAACATGTCCTCAAAGAACCTAAGTTTTCATTTGCTGACAAAGGCTACACAGTGCCTCATTCTAACAAGTTTAGTTCACATGACTACTGGTGACTGTGTAATAGTGCTAAATGAACACAAGTCTTCTATTCCTCCTCTCTTCACTCAATTTGAGATGTTTCTGTTTAAATTGACTCAACTGGAGTATCTTTGCCTAACTTTCCACTTAGCACTGAGTCTATTGAATGATATGCATCCATCCATGTTTTTTGCTATCATCTTTAAACTGGATCCTCAAAAAGCATGTGGACTTGATGGTATCCTTGCAATAGTCCTAAAGAAATGTGCTCCTGAACTGACTCCTGTTCCTTCTAAATCTATATAATAAATGTGAATGTCAGTGTCACACTTTTTCAACTTTACTCCTAGAGGCTGTAGCCCAACATATACCATTTTGGAATCAGGTCAACCCATGAGCAAATTGAAAATATTCCAGGTCAGATCCAGACCTGCAATCCTGAAATTTGGGATTCCCAAGTATTCATTACTGTGCTTGTTTTTGGCAATTTTTTTTTATGTGATTTTTTGCGACAATTTTTTTTTGTACGCAAACATAACTTGTATATAAATTCAAGAATAATCAAAATTAATTGTGAAATCCAGCAAAATTCACTCATGAAATAAAAATAATGGTTTGTACAGAAAGTAAGGACCTACATACATCAAATTGTCTTTGAATTAAGTGGTGGCAGAAGAATTATCATTGAACTTTTAAAAGATAAGCTTAAATATTAATGCAATAGTTAAATGCAGCAATTAATTTTGAGTTCTTCTGTAGTTTATTGTTGCCTATCACATCTATTCCTGCCTACCTATTGTGATGAAGGCCCAATCTAGAGCCCTCTACAGGAGCTAGCTTAATTGCTGCTCAATAGAGCGGCTTTTAAGCTAGTTTTAAAATAAATGCCTTGCTGCTTCTTGCTTTCCTACTTGTTCGAAATCCTCTTCTGTACTTCCAGTCTTTGAGAACTCAGGTGAACTGTCTGATCCTCCTATTTGCCTTCTAATTCTTTTTGGCAAAGTACTAGAGGTTCTAATTCTGAATTGGTTAAGTATCTCACTTTGCAGCTTCTTCTTTCAGATAAGCAATATGGCTTTTGCTTCTCTAGGTCAACTGCTGATGTGTTAGCAATTATTGCTGAAAGAGTCTATCAATCTTTTGGATATCTCAAAGGCATTTGATAGGGTTTGGCATACTGGTCTTCTTCACAACTTGAAGATGTTCCGGTATTTTTGGATGAATTTTTGAACTGATTCAGTCTTACTTATCAAATAATGAAGTGAAAATTGTCTTGAATGGTTACTCTTCTAGATCTTTTTACATTAATGCATGTGTTCCCCAGGGTTCTAACCTTGGACTTACGTTTTTCCTAATTTTCATAAATGACCTTCTTGATGTCATCAAAACTCAGCTTGCTATCTAAACTGAAACAGCTATTTACTCCTGTCTTAATAATAGTAAGTCTGATTGTTTTGATAAGATCAAATTGGCAACTGATCTCAAATATGACCTAAAAACTGTTAAATAGGGCAAGGAGTGGCTTGCTAATTTTAACACCTTGAAAACGAAGCTGCTCCCTTAATTGTCTGAGAGAACTCTTTACCTTCCATCAGTAAAGCTGATGCTAACTTCCAGTAGAGTGACTCATTGCACCTACTTGGACTAACATTTTTTTGCTAACATGTTTTGGAAAGAATCAATTACCGAATCTGCAGCTAGGAAAGTTGGTTCACTGTGTCAAGCTAAACAGTTTTTCTCACTATGAACTTTCGTCTATGGTACCTAGACTTTATGAATTTAAGCACAGTACTAGATTGTTAACAAGGTCTCCTCATTTTACAGTTGAAACAGCTAGATGTAACCATAAGTTCTATGCTAACAGTTTCTTCTATTGCACTCTTCACTCATAGAACTCTCCTCCAGCTTCTTGCTTCCTAGTCAACTTTGATCTTCAAAAAATTTCAATGCAATGTCAATTATTATCTTCTGTCTTCTTAATTGTTGTTCTTTTATTGTCCTCTCTCCTTAATAGTATATTTTCTCATATTCTCAAATACTCAGTAACCCCTTATATCTTAGTGGCTTTATTGCCTTGAAATGATTAAAAAGAAAATAAATTCAGATTATTGGAGATAGTATCTCAAAGATTTCTATAATTTGGCATCATTGGTCACTGAATATTTGTTGTTAATAGTAAATACTTTTCAAGGGAAATTTACAAAACACAAATATTTGTTTTTGAAAGTTAGCAATGAATTGAAGAAAAAAAAAAAAAAACTTACCTCAACTTCATTTTCATCAAATATTTGCAGCAAATTTTGTGGAATCAAAGCATTGAATCCTTTCATAAAATATTTCATTTGATTTTCCACCCGGGACACAAATCGCCATTTGATGACCAAACTAGAAAAAGAGAAAAAAAACCCCAAAAAACAGGAAATTAATTTAGTCCTTTTAGGACAGCTTTATGGATCAAGAAATTTTAAAGTTAGGTTAAATTTTAACTAGCAAATATAAATAAAATTAACATTTTTTCTCTCTATCCTCTACAAAATAAAATTTCATAAATTTTAAATAACATGTTTTCTTATTGACAATTTCTATATTTTCTTGCTTATTTAAAATTGGATTAATTTACATTAAAATTATCTTTGATATTTCTGACTAACAAAAATCACTAAGAAAAAAAAAAAAAAAAATCCAAGGAAAATTTCAAAAGGGGAGATAACTTACTTTATATATTCTAATTTGTTTTCGTCTGACACCACAATGTCTTTTCCTCCTGGCTTAAGTTCTCGCTCAGTTCGCTTGAAAAATTAATGAATGAATCATTTTAAAAAATGTTTATGATTATGTAATAAGAAAATGTTTTACAATAAAAAAAATTAATTTGGTTGCTTTCTCAGAACTAAAAATTGAATAAATAATGATAGTAGTCCTGCCCAATGACTGAAAGAATATTTGTTACTAATGTCAGAGGTTTATGGTCAAGCTTAGATAAAAATCAAAATTGAACATTTAATTTTCAAAATAGGTGGGCTTTTGTAATTTGGAAGATTGGTACAACATAACCTTTTTACTCAAATTTGGTCTTTTGGTGAACTTGATGAAATAAATGTTAAGAATAGTATTTGCGATAACAGTATTAAAATGAAACAAATTAACACAAAGATAAATATAGATTCTGTTGGTCTCAGCTTATGTCAGGCAGATTCATTAAATTAAAATCAAAAGTGTAAGATCAATTTTTTTTTTATTTAGTCTGAATGCTACATGATTAAGAGTGAGTGAAATCATTTTGTTATTTTTGATATTTTCTCAAGCTTCTCAAACTCTATAAAACACTTTTTTCTTTAGCATCATTTTCACAATTAACTAATGTGTAAAAATATTCTTATGCAAAAAATCCATCAAATGAAAAATATTTGAGATTTAATTTTTTTTTTGTAGCACAAGATTTAAAAAAATATTTATCCTATTCAAAACTGTTTTTAATACATGTGAATATTTTAGAAATTCATTTGGCACTACACACCTCTCCAAAATAATCTTCTTCCACACAAAACCTCAAGTCTAATTCTGTTGGATCATTATCTTTGATCCAGATCAAAGAATTGTGATATTCAGAATCCTGCAAAAACAAAAAAATATTAGTCAAAATTTAAACAGTTTTTCACAGACATCTTAAGAAACTTCAAAATTTTGTCACCGACCCTGGGACAACTTCAAAGTTCAAATCAACTTCGGTTCATGAATTTCTGTAAGATTTTTAGACTTTCATTTTTACATGAAGAATAATTTTCTTTTTTAAATTGTATTATAAAATGTATTCACTACCATAAATCTGCTTATTTAAGTTCAGAAAATCAGATTAGACCAAAAATAAATGGCTACCATATCTGGGCTGGAGTTGCTCAATCTTTACTTTCCAGTCTTGATAGAGTTCAAAATGTTTTATGTAATCTTGTGAGAGGAGACTCTGCAACCTCTTCTCACAGTTGCCAGTCTGTTGCTACTCTATTCCTATTTCCATGGCAAATGTTCAGATAAACTCCATTCTTTAGACCCACCAATTCAGACCTTTGCACTTACAGAGTTGAATCACCCTCATTTCCTCTGTAAAGAAAAATTTTCACTCAGACAGCTTTTATCTAAAAACTTCAAATTTCTAGAAAAAAAACTTGTGGGGGTGCTTCCCTGAACACTTCAATCTTGACCTTTTCAAGAGTCAAATATCGTTTTTCCTCCTTATCCTCAAGCTTCACCTCCATTCATATCACATTACCATTTTAACTGTAACTTTGAATGGCTCTTGAGGCTTAAATTGGGTGAAATTTAGTAGATATTAAAGTAGATTTAAAAAATGCAGAATGAGAAAAAGTGTGATGTGCCATGTATGAAACATTTGAGAACCAAAACAAAGAAACTGGTTGGAACTTATTACTAAATTGCAAGGAGGACATTATTGGACATCATTTCTTAAATGATATTTGAAGGCTGAGAAAAATACTATAATAGATTATCTCAGTTACTTCTATAAATAGGAGTTAAAAATCTCCAATCATTGAATCATGGGTTTTAAGATTAAAATATCATATTCTGTATCATCTTTCAACTAACTTGCTATTTTCATTTTAAGTTTATCAAAGAAATTAATAAAGAACACAAAAAAAAAATTAATTCTTTTCTTTTTACTTACAACTGACTCCATATCTGAGAGTTTTATGGATTTTTCCAACATCATCTTGTAGAATGGACGAATAAAGAAGGCTGGGGATAAAAAAAAAAAAATAATAATAATATATATATTTCAGTTAGATTCTTTTCTCATGGATGATAGTGATTATAGCAATCCATGTATCTGTATGCATATATTAGGGTATAACAACACTCTCCTATGTCCCAAAAAGAGTCCCCTATGTAGTAGAATTTCCTAATGCCATAGTACAAATAAGAGTTTTTAAACTTGAAAAAAAATTCAATAATCATTCAATGGTGACTAAAATATTTGTTTAATATTCATGAAATATGAACAAGAAAATGCAGAACAAGAAAGTTTTGGATATTTTATAAGTACAATGTAATTGTAAAAAGTATTTATTATTTTTGACAACATGGGTAAATTAGTTTAACTAATGCACTACTGTTAAAGACCAGCTTGTGGGGGAGATTATAATTGGTAAATTAAATAGATTGATAGATATTAATCAATAAAATCATAGTTTCTTAGTGCTGAAAGAAAAGTTGGTATTTAAATTGAAGTGGAAAGCATTTCACAAATTCCATGTCATGCATAGATAGCAACAGGTAAATTAAACAGAACAGGTAAAAATTTAGAAATTTCTATAAATTCATTCTGATATTTATCAATTTTTGTAAAGTAGATATTGGGTAGGTAGACTAATTTACTAACAAGTGTTGATTTTAAATCAATTTTCAAATATTCTTTGTTATTCCAAACTTGGAACTATATGAATGCTCATTCAATGAACACAAACTCAAAGCAGTGGGTCATCCAGAGAGGATCAACTCACTATATAAGTGATCCCTTTTTTGCTGTAGCCTTAGTAAATAGCCATCATCTTACAGATGATATTCATTTACAAAAATGTTTAAAGAAATATAATTACAAAAGCTACTATTTCATATCAATTCAGTGAAAGGAGAAAAATTGCAATGAAACTACTAATCTTTCACTAAACACAAACTGATAACATGAAGAAAGAAAACTACTTGATTAGGGTAACACCAAAATTACCACAAAGTAGTACTAATCAGTTTGGGTTTTCTCTCATACCATACACAACATATTTTAAAAACCCTACCACTACACTAGACGTGGTAAGGCAGATAGCATCTATAATGTACAAAGTATATTACATTCTACCCTAGAAGCATTAACATTCTTTGATTTTGATTTGGTGGTATGTAGAAGAAACTTTATACTTTGAAAGATTGCGCACCATTTCCTTTATCATTAGTAATATATATGCATATAGGTCCATATACTGGTTAATGGTAATTAATACAAAATCTCTTTTTACACCTGTGGATCTTATGTTACAACCATTTACGTCAACCATGGAGATAAACTCAACTTGATAATAATTTCATCAAGGTATAGATATTTCATTTATTACTTGATTTGACTGCAATAGGTTTACATTTTTAAGGCAGATTTTGGAACAGTGATCATCCATCCATAATTTACAAAATATATCACAACCTGGTAAATTCTTAATTTTTTTTTTGTAAGTTTTACAGGTAGAATCATTTTTTTCTCTGAAAAAATGCTAAGATAAATTCTGTAGATACTTATTTTGGATTTGTGTGTACTTTACACATGCACATACAATGTTTGTCTCCAGATCTGTAGACGATATTTCAAAATTTTAATCATGTTACAGGCTTGAAATTTATTTCAGAGAAAAAAAAAAAAAAGAATCCTAAAAAGACAGAAGAAAAAAACTTTCTTACCATCTAACAGTTTGCCATGGTATACAGCCATTCCAGCTATTCGACCAATGAATTCAAAGTAGTTCAAATGTTCTTCATTAGCCACACCAGACAAAGGGTTAATTTGGAGGGTATAGTTGTCTCTGGAGAAAAAGAAAAGAAATGCAAATTAATAAACATGTGCAAGGAGAGAGTTATATGCCCTTTGGTCATATTTGCTCATTCAAATTACATTTTCATCTGAATTAATAAGGTAGTTTAACTCTTGATTATAACACTTTCAAATAGTCACAGGTACAGAGTTAATGATAATAATTTTAAGGAAAAAATTAAGATGTTTCTTTAGGACAATGGTGAAATTGTTTTTTTTTTTAATATTTGAAAGGAAATACTGAAAACTAAAGAACAATTTGATCTATTACAATTTCCATATATTTAATAAAATGATATTATTTTTTGTTTTGACCTGATTATCTAAAACCTTCAAAATTATGATGAATAGTTTCCTTTTGCATTATCCATTAAACTAAGAACATAGTATAATAGCTTGAGTCGAAAGAGACATAAGAGTCATATCTGGATACATAATTCTACCATTTGTTATAAATGCCTCTATTTGAGGGGATGCTAAAAAGTTTGCAATACAATCCACTTCCTAAAATCTACCCAAACATCAATCTTTTTTTTTTTTTAACATCCCTTCTTAATGGGCTAAGAACATTTCAGCCCCCACCCCACACACACACTTACCTTTAATTATGGCAATTGTGAATTTGACCAAAACCCACTTGTGTATAAGCATTTTCAAGTTTATGAAATAAATTAATCTAGCTTTTTAAAAACTTTTGTGCTGTAAGTAACAACCAAGTCACCAAAATTTAATGTCATCTCAAATCCTGTTCAATACAGGAATTCAAAGGGATTTATGTAGATACCAAATCCACTAGAAGAGAGGAGTTAGATAAAAGACAAACAATTGAGTCTTTCAATGTAATATTTTTCTTGAAAATTACCTACAGAAAAATCTAATGTTTTGAAAGACAAATAGTATTTCTATATTCAGCAACATATTTTCTTCCAGTTCTACTGTGCTTGTGCACTGGGAGTAAAGAATTGTTATTCTCTTCATGTACACATTTAATAAACAATGAACTAAAAAGATTATGTCTATTATAGAGCAATGGTTAGCAAGCTGGCCTAGCATATTAAGCATGCAAGAGCTCAATTCTCTTTTAACACTTAACTATGATGGCCCCATGCCAGACTATACTTAAGAAATATCTACAAATAACTGTAATGATTGATTAGAAATTGACTGTCACAAGCATCCAAGTTAAAAACCAGATAAAACCACTTAGAGAATTGGTAGGAATATACACTAACATACTAAGTGATTATATTAAAGAATTTAAATATTTTACTTAGTGACAATATATTGCATAAATATTAATATGTTAATAAATTATACATTATTTGACAGATTAGTAAAATATTAAAATCTACTTCTTTAACTAAAAAGATTTTTTATTTTAGCAATGAACAGAATTAATTCTTAATTCTATAATCAACTCTCAATACAAAAACATGTTTTCTGGTGAACTTACGTGGCCGAATATTCAAACAATCCATAGTATGGGTTGAACATTTCTTTTGATAGCATATAAAACCATTCTCGAGCCACACCACCGTAATCCAGACCCACTTCTCCATCAAACTCTATCCATAATCTTCAAAATAAAAAAAAAAATTTAATCACTAACAGAAGAAAAATCTTTCTGACTTTGTCAAAAAATAATAAAGAAAAATACGGTAAAGTCATCAAAAATGGTGAAAAGAAATTGAAAAATGGATAGTGTTGGTGATATGTTTATCATAGTAGAGAATAACAAATGTTTATATTTTAGAATTGATGATTTCAGTTTCCAAAGGTTTCAACTCCAAGCAAGTGTCTTTCATCAAAAGGAAAAAAATCATTTATTTTACGAAGTAAACAATATTTATAACTTATATATATATATATATATATATATATATATACACACACACCCACCCACAAAGGGTATTAAGGCATACTCTTGATTCTTTGTCATGCTTTAATGTTGGCTGCTGTTATGATAAAATAATTAATGAGGAAATTATATCTTAAAGAAAAGTGACCTTTCCTCAAATATCAGAAAGAACCAAATCAAGTGTGTCTGTCATAAAGCATAAAAATAAAGTGCATAAATTTCATCATACTTGTCATTCAACTAGAGACTGTGATACTGGATTACAAGTGACAAAAAAGCAAGTTTGACTATTCATCTCCCAAATTTGATTCATCTCATCCAGTCTTCAGTTGTTTGTAGAGTGTCAATAAATGTTTAGTTCACAGGAGATAGATACTTTGCCAAATTTTGCATGTACCTTAAATTGGCTGCTTGACTTTTAACTAGATGAAACTTGAAGATCCTAGTTTTTGGCATAATCATGGAAAAAGTGAACAGTTTGTATTTTGTGATTAGATTCCTTTTCATTTTGGATTGTACCATGTTTTTCTCAATCATAATCTAGTGGTTATACTATCTTTAGAATCATACCATTCTAAGATTTAAGGCCTAAATAATACCAATAGTTACTGTTTTTTTTTTCTGGTTTGATGTTGAACTCTTCTTCTCCACAAGTTATCCAACTGGTGCTTTGTTTTTAAATGACCCTTAAAATTTCACATATCCATTCCAGTTTTTACCTTTATCAGGCAGTGTATATCTCAACAGTTTCCCTTCTCCTTTATTTTTTTGTCTATTTGACCAAAATCCGTCACATCACATAACTATGACCGCTCATTAGGAGTTTGTGAATCACCTAACTGAAGTGGCCATTGATGTTTGATGACTGTAATAACTGCACCATTGTACGAACATGATTCCACCTCAGACTACAGCCATCTGTGAAAAACATCAAGACACACAGATGAATACTTAATTAATACCGCATTTAACATGTGACTGTGGCCAGATGTGCATTTTACCCTTTCCAGACTTGAGAGAATATTAAAGACAAAGTATCTCCAGTAGGCAAATGAAAGAAATAAGATATTTTGCTGGAAATCAAATCAATCCATATCCTATTTTGCAATTTCTGAACATTCTTTCATTTTTTCATAAAATACATTGGCTTTTCTCTTGTGCAGAGACTTGTTTTACTGGACCAATATTAAACTAAATATTGGAAAAATAGGCTCTTTGGAAATTCAATGATTTTCAAATTCAAACAAAGAAATAAGAAAATATAGGGAGACATGATAAAATAGAGCAAAGAAAATATAAAATAATAGCACAATTTCAAGATGACTGTTTGCTTGCTTCTAAATTTAATTTTAACAATTAAGAGAAATAATTTGTACATGCTAATTTAATGTTGATTTGTTTTTGGTAACTTGTGCTGACTTGATTCAATTACAGTGAGAGAAGAAAAATTAGAAGTCATCTTTGTACAAATTGACTTTTCTTTTGCAAACATTTTAATAGTGCCATTTTGTGTCAAAATGAATGATCTCAACAAATTCAAAATAATAAAAGGGAGCATAAGGTAAAGACATGAAATTAATCAGGTATGAACTACATTTAATGAGAGGAAATGTACAAGTCAGCACTTTCTCCTCTTAAGTTGTAATATTTTGCTGGTGATGTTATTTTTTTATTTTCAAGTATCAAAAAGAAAAATTCCCTTTTTCCAAGACTATCAATAACTGAAGATTACTTTTTGGTTAAGTTTTCTTTTTATTGTTATAAAAGAATGATATCTTTCTAAACTGGACTCACTATGTTACCTGCATATAAAAAAAGTAACTGGTATAAAGAAAAGGTTTTTTAAATAACTCACCTTGTTTTCAAAAGATCAACCTTTTTCACACCCATAATTACTCTAAAAGAGTCTTCAAACACATTTGCTCTAGAAACTTTAATATCTATTTTGTTAGGAACATTGACCTGAAAAAAAAAAAAAAAAGAAAAAAAGAAATAAGATCAAACTTATACAAAGCAAATTAAAATATTTAAACAGGATTTTTTAAATAGTAACAAAGAAAAAACCCTCTTTAAGTTATTAGCTTCATTTTGTTTAGCAGACTAGTTCTATAAGAATAAATGTGACTATGTCATATATAAATTTGGCCAAATATCCTAAAGAGAAAAAAAAGATAGGAATAGGGAAAGAATTATGGTAGAATCAATCTTTTCTTTTGGTTATTTTTTTTTTTTTTTTTAAATGAGCTATTTCTAATAATTTAAGTGGGTTTGTAAAATTTGTAAGTTCTTGTCATGTATTTTTACCATGAAAATTTGAATTAATTTAGGTTTGACTAGGAAGTAAAGAATAAAAAATAATATATATATATATATATATATTAAAAACATCAAAATTGACAGGTGTGTACTTACAGGTTTACGAAGTTTGGATCGGAAGTAATCATATTTTCTTTTATAGTCCCGAGAATATGGTACTGCCTGCAGAAAAATCAAAATTCTTTTTGTTAGGTTCAGAAAAAAATAAAGTAAAATCAGTCACTCACCACTCATCCAAATCCAGGTTGATCATGTAACCTGTCAGTCCAGAGATACTTCCACATATCTAGGTCTTCTGTTAGTATAAGTCGTGAGTAATGACCATGCTTGGCATAGCTTAACTTTGGTGATTGAATAAGAACCAGTGTTTCAACATGATATGACCAAAAGCAAAACAAAATCACCAACATTTATTGTTATATTCCATGCTAATAGGAATATATACTTGAAAAACAGTGGATAAAATAAGTAAAGGCTTATTTACAATAAGAATAAAGGTAACAGTTATGCACAAGGTCATCGCCAGTCAATCCAGATCCCAGCTAGTCAATATTTACTAGCCCTCCCATGAGGGTAGATGTGACACAAGGCTGAGTTTAACGTAGGTCTTTCGAGCCTGTAGGCTCGGCCAAAAATATTCCCTTTGAACCTGTATAAACGGGTTCAGGGTCAGTCTACCTCCCTGAACAAGACACTGCCCTTCAGCAGTGCCTCATCTGGGTTCCTCTATTCTCAGAGGCAGAGAGTTCAACTGTCCCAGCTGGAACAGATCCCAGCTAGTCTCTGTAGTCCGTTGACTTACAGATTCTTATAGGTAGTTACTACCTATAGTGTAGTCACTCATGAGGGTAACAGGTTACATTACATCATTTATAACATTATGAGGTAACAGGTTAACATTACATCATTTATAAATATTATTAATTATGGAAGGAAAATCTAAGTTTTCAATTTTATTTTCAACTAAATCAATTTTATATTTATGATGAATTTATATTCTCTCTTCCAAGAAGGAAATATATATTAAAATACTTTTTCTTCAATTTATCATGAACTTTTACCTGTTTACAATTTTTGGTGTCAGAATTGTTCTTACAATCAAAATTTATATTTATACAAACTTTCAAATGAACTGTGAATTAAATTAGTTCCAGAGTAGTGGTTACTTTTTACTTTACAAATATCTATATTATCATGAATCATTGTCTAGACGTATTACTTGCATTAATTTTAGTTGTTTTCCATCACTACTATTCAGACTGTCAGTCAACAAACATCAATAACAGTACTGATCAGAAATCAAGAACTCTTGGCAAGACTCAAATTTACATTCATTTTATATATGGAAGCATGTTTAACCATACCAGTTACTCTACCAGCTGAGCTACAAGAACTCTTATAGCTGACAGAAGATAGAATTTAACCATTTAAACTTACCCTTATCAACTTTCAATCTATAGAACAAAAACAATAAAATTTTTACAAAGAAGTTAAGATTATTTTAGTTTCCAACAATACCTGGCAGTAGCCAGGTATTGAATTCACAACTCTTTGGTTCAAATCATTGGATCCAACCAACGATTTTATCTACTGGGCCATGTGTCCTCAAGGACTACTGCAGTGGTGAACAAAAACTTGGGGAGTTGAGTTAAAGGAAGATAACTGAGACATCTGGAAGAAGCATGGCATGTGGAACTAGAACAATCTATTCCAGTAGATAAAATAAAGGGTTCAGTTCGAAATTCCAGTCACCTGAAGAAGGCCAGAGAATACAATGACTGAAACATTGTGAATATGGCAACAGTCTGAACAATGTAAATAGTGTAAATAATTACAATACCTTATCTCAGAAATATAGACAGATATTAGATATTTCTTGCTGACTGATGCTGTATGGTTAAGCAGACCAACTGAGGTTGATACAGATCAAATCTAGAGATTTAGAATAATCAACATTATTCAATTTAAGAAATAGTCAACATATTCAAATATTCAAATCAAGTATTGAAATATTTGATTATATTAGTTGCTTTGATATGTTAAGCAAAAATATTAATCTATACTTAGATGTTCCATTTTTTAAAATCATGATAAGCAATGAAAAGTGGATATTTAAAGCAATGTGAAACACAAGAGACCATAGGGCATGCAAAATAAACTCTAAAATAAACTAATGAATTGTACCAAGGGCCATTAAATAGGAATTCTCCAACTTCTTCCAGAAAAAAAAAAACAAACAGAAAACCACCTGATTTAAACAAGTACTGCTCTTAATTAGAATGGCATTGATGGTAGTTCTTGGCTGATAAAAATAATAAAGTTCTAAAAGGATAGAATTATAAAGATATCTGAGGACAAAAGACTGAAACAAAATCAAGTTAACATTGCAAATAAAAAATATTGTCTTATTTCTGGCTAATTGATTGAACAAGTTTTTTTTATGCTAACCAATTATAACCAAAAGGTTAAAAAATGCTGATTGTGTGTGTGTGTGTGTGTGTGTATATATACTTACAGGACCTCCAAGCTTCTGTAACCTCGGATCTTCCCACATTGTGGTTCTGGTATCTGGAAAAAGCAAATTATTTTTCTTGATGGATCAGCAATATTTATTTTCTATGCTTTGCTAAACCAAACAAACAAAACTATTATTCTATTGCTTATAGACAATATAGAATATATTCTTGCTATCAGAATATTCTTAAATATTTAAAATTAAATATCATCATCCAACAGGAACAGAAATATCAGTATAAATTGTATATTTGTGGACAAGAAATTGTTTAAACAGAATGCATTGTAATTTCTGTTGGTATTTGCCTTAAAATTAGTATTTTTTTTCTGGTGGTAATAAAAGTATTAAATGAAAATGAGATAAAGTTAAATTAAAACTTGCACTAAATTAAAATTTGTAAAGGTTATTTGTACTTTGTGCATATTGACATGACATTGATAATTTCAGTTTCAATTGTTTTTATTGTTCTTAGCAGCTATTTTTGATTTCGTGCCTTTCAATCTTTTTCATGTACCAGTAACATTTGATAAGATTCAGAGAATCAAAAATTATTATTTGATCCATAAGTGTCCAAGTTCTTTTACCTTTTATGTCCGGTGATTTTATTAAGGAATTTTAAAACTCCGAACAATCAATTTTTGTTAATGTTAATTTCTAAACTGTTTATTTCTGCATTAAATTAAGAAAAGATTGAACACACAAGTTCAAAATAACCAGATGAACTCTACCATTAGGTCACATCAAAATGGAACTTCAATTAAACTGTTGGGATGAAAGAAAATAGGGAATTTGTGCAAAAAAGAATGTATAAACTGAACAGCAATTTCATCATGAATTGGTAGAAAGGACAAGACAGGGAAATAAGATATTAAGCTTTAAAAGAGAAAAGAAAAATTTTGTGACTTACTGTGGTCGATATAAAACACCCTCCCATCTGTGTGGATGCGTTCTTCCCAGCCAGGCTGCAAAAAGACAACAAAAACATTAACATCAAAGTGAAGGGAGTAAAGGAGATTTAAAACAAGAGAAATAAATGTTCATGCCTGCCATACTAGAATCAATATCTGAAATAAAGTAAAGAGTATACATATCAACTAATAAATATATCTGTACTGTTAAAGGAAAATGATTAGCTATGTGAGAGAATAAATTAAGGCAGAGTTTCATCAAAGCTACATATACGCCAAACATTTTGGGTTTTACCTGTGGAACTATAATTAAAATATCACATTGCTCTACATAATCCCAACAAACTTGAGACTTATTTCTTAGTTAAATATTAATTCATAACAATAAAATAACCAGTAGTAAAACTTAAACCTTTGATTAATAGCATCACTGACAAAGAAAATAAATAAACACCTTTCTGTTATACACTTAAATTGCCTATAATTTTAGTCTTTGGACATAGATGATACAACTTGTATAGCTCAGTATAAAATTGTATAAATATTAAAATGTGTAACATTCACGCAGCATTTTTAATAAAAATGAAAGCAACTATCAAATTGTGATGAACAAAAGAAAAACACTGTGTATAGGATATAGCAAATAAACAGGATTGCAAATGATTTGTAAAAATGTGAAATTATTAAATTGAAAGACTTATGCAAGGTTTTGTTAGGAAAATCTGAAATCTGTGCAGATGTGTAACTGTAATAGCAAATTGCACAAGCAAATAGCAATAAAAAGTTAGGAGTAGAATCAGTCTATTTATGTTCTTGTAAAATCTATAAAACCTTGCAGCACACTGAAAATAATATGAATATCACCATGAGCAAGAGGAACAATTGAAACAGAATTTGTAGATATGAAATTATTCATCTGATTATGCCCATTTTGTTTGCTTATTTGAAACAACATCAGTAACCAATATCAACCAATACAAATGGACACACAAAACTGAAACACTTACAAAATAGAAGAAAAAAGTGGTTGCATTTAATTACTACTGATCCAAAATAATCACTAATTAAGTGTAGGGCAGAAAACTTTTGACATAAGGTTAGTCTATGTGTAGTTATAAAAAATTCTGAATTTGATGAGAAAAAAATAAAAACGATATAAGAATATAAAAAAACAAAAAAAACACACACACACAAACTATGTGAATTAAAACAAATTTAGAAGTTTACTTGATTGTATTATTTAAGTGAAAAGAAAGTAAAAGAGACAATGTTGATGTCATTACAGAAATCCATAGAGAAATTACAATGTTGTGAGAGAAATGAAACAAGAATATTTTATTATCCCTAATTTTTCTTCTAAATGGTAGGTTAAATCAAAATGAAAAACTTTCCCCTTACAAATATAACCAAATATTTGTCTTCTGTTTGAACAAGAAACTATAAAATTATTTGAATGTTCAGTGTGACATGTTAATATATTAGGTCTTTTTGTTTGATTTGTCTAACTCTTTAGCAATGACATAGACATTTTTTTTTAACTATTGTTGGTATAACTATTACAAAACTCCCTTAAAAGATACACAAAATAAATTTATCAGTAATATTAATAATTTTTTGAGCTTTAACTTCAGGTAACGTTTAGCAGCAAAGAAAATAGCATCAGCAAACAAAGTTCACTTTTTCACTGAGACTTCTTGTGTTCACTCAGTATCAGTATCTTTGAGAAAGGCATGTCCCATTTTCAGACATCTTAACAAAAAGCATGCAGAAAATGTCTCATTTCTGGTATATCACAAAGGTATACAGAGAAGAGTGGATGAATGAGTATTTGGGTAAATCACTCTCTCCCAAAATTACTTTACTGCTCAGGTGATTATAACAAAACGTTACCTCTTATTGTCAGATCTTAACAATACTGATATATATTAAGAGCTAATCAAATTAAAAATGCAATTGAAATATTATATATATATATATATATATATATACACACACACAGACACAACTTCATAGTACAAGTGCACTATTATACAAGCAACTCGCTTTATGAGCTGCCATTCATGAGCATTTTTGTATCATAGGACAAGTAAAATTTCACAGTACAAGTAACCGTCTTATATAAAGAAGCAGTCAGTGACTGAGGCAAAGGAAACCATTGCCAGTTGATGCCATCTATTTCTAAGAAACAGCACAGTCAAAGGCAAGGTGAAGTATATCTGTGAGAGCCTGATGCTCAGAACATTTATTCATTTTATTGGAGAAAATTCTTCTAAGTGCTTATCACAGATAACATCACCTACCAATGCTATTGATTGCCTCCCTTTCCTGACAAGCACGGAGAGGAGCTGACAACAGGGAAACTTCAGGAGCATCAAAACATGGAGGAGGTAAAGTAACTAGCCAAGGAGGAAAATATGTCAGAGGGTAGCTGCCATGAGTGAGATCAAAGAAGTGCTGGTGGTGTGGAAAAAAGTGCATGACTTAGTGGAAAAATACCACCCGCAAAAATTAAGTGCAAGTCGTATGACTGCTTTGTTCAACAAAAATTATGTTGACTATTTTCATGGCATTTTGAAATCAAGAACGAAACATTTCTATTGATAAATTTCTAAAGAAATGACTTGCAATTGCCGAAAGTGAATCAAATGCCACAAAAGTCCTTAAGTTCTGAGTGAAAATGCCAGAAACTTTCTTATGAAAGGTTTTTAGTTTAATAAAAGCTGTTTATTTCTTTCATTCTCTCTTATGTTCTTATTATATGTACTTTTTGTGATTTAATTTCTTACTGTCCGTTTTCAATTTTTTTTAATTCCAAAATAGACATTTTAGATGCTTTGGGGGAACTGAAACAGATTAATTAATTTTCCATTAATTTCAGCGGGGATGGGAGAATGCTTTGTAATACGTGTAATTTGCAATACAAGCTCGGTCTGGGAAATAATTAAATTTGTACTGAGAGGTCCTATTGTGTGTGTATCTCTGTTGGTTTATTTCACATAATAAAGAATTTTGAGATTCATTATAGATTGTATGATCACCAACTTAGTAAGAATAAACTTGAACACAATTAAATCAGATGGCATTTATGTAAGCATCAAATGGATGTATTAACAATAAATATTTACATTCACAAGCATTTGTTTTTGTGAAGGCAGAAGTCAGTCACTTAAATAGCAGAATTTTAAAACAGGACATTATTGGAATACAAGCTTTAAAAATAAGATGAAGCGTTTTTTTTTTAATCTGAAGATAAAAATAAAGGATTGGTGGAGGAAATGAAAACTTACAGGCAAAGGGCCAAGATTGTTGAGGAGATCTTCATTTGAAGATGAACGTACAAAAGGCTTTGGGGCATCGGGAGTAGCTGCTGTTCTCAAGGAGTTTGTACGGGTTTTTCGAGGATCCTCCTACAATACAGAAAATATACTCATTAACCCTTTACTGCTAAGTGCCACAAAACAAATAAAAATCAAAGTTTTATAAACTTCAAGTTTCAATTACTATTGACAAAGCAGCATCACTAATGCTACTTGTGAATAAAGTAGTAGCACTTTTGTGTTTCATCAACTATTATCAATTTGTTTTGTAAGTAAAAATGGAATTTTCTGCCACATCAACATTAATCAGTAATATGGTAGAAGCCATCATTTCCTTTTAATTTGACAAATACTGTTTGAATGGTACTATCCTTTGGTCAATGTGTGTGATGTTCATTGTATTGAATGTGATTTATGTAGCCCTTAGAGTCATTTCTTTCTATGATAAAAGAGAAAACAATACCCTTATGAAATGCCCGACAAGAAAATTACAAATTGAGAGAGAAGGATTAATAAAAGAGAAGTTAAATATCTCAGAGTAGTAACAACAGACAAAGTTGTGATAACAGATTTAAATTTCAAGATGTGAAGAGTTGATTAACTAATGATAGCTACAAAACAAAACTATTCTTTTGTTGGAGTGGAAGTAGTACTTGGTTATTGGTTGAGTAGATAATAAATTTAATGTGGCATAAGGTCATGGACAACTACAGAGTGCATTGGAAACCCATGTGTCAAATTAATATAAATTAAAAGTGTCTTCTTTCTTAGCTTCTAAAAGATGTTTAGTATTTAAAATATAAATTGAGTTTATTTGTTATAATGAAACAGGATCATTCTCATAAACATTATTAATACCTTTTTAATGTGGAAAATATCTGAAAAGTGCAATGACATTTAAAAAGAACAATGCAAGGCTCTTCAATGAAAAAGCTTATTTGAACAGTTTTACAGAGGAGTTGGATAATGCTAATTTTTAATCAAAAGTTTGAGTCTTTGTCTTTTGATTACTATACACGTTTGTTAATTTTTACAGAGAAGTGATTCAATAATATTTTAATTCATTTCTTTTCTAGTCGTTTAGTGAGTCGTTCTAGGTTTTTGTTCTTAAAGTGTAATTTAATAAGCAAGAATTATTGTAGATGTTGTTAAAACGAAGGGAAATCACCCCAAACATTTATGCGAACAATTTTAACATTCAAGCAATGGTAGTTGTCTCCCTTAGAATTTAATTCATTACCCTTTTCCAAATAGCAATAGCCAAATTGTTTTATTATGAACTACTACAGCGTCCATAGATTGTGTGTATTTAATTTTTACGATCGTCAATAATTTCTGGACTGTGTATTTAGTCTTTATTGTCTATAAAAAAACAATCATATCGTAGAAAACAAGCATAGTAAATAGGGACATATGTCTCTGCTGTTAATTTTGGGTTCAAACTCTAAGAGAGGCAATGGAAAGTCCATTGACTAAGTAGAGACACAGTGTGCAACACAAAAGATGATAAATTGATATTTGTCTTTATGAATAGAAGGATGCTAAATGTGACAAATGAAAAAGAAATGTGAGGGTGGGAAGTACACTCCTCGCTGTGCCTGACTGTGAAATAGGTCTGTTCAAAATCTTCTATACAACAGACATCAGTGAAAAGCCAAGAAAATAAACTGACAAAAACAATTTTATGACTGGCATGTTAGTCTGGAAGACTCAATAAATGGGATGGCTTAAGTTCATGGTTATTTGAATTCAATGTTCGATAATTTAAATGAATGCCTAGAAGAAAATCACATTAGTTACTGAGAAATATTACCAAGATATTCATCATCCATACTGATAAAGTTCAGATAAATAAGAATATAAATTATCACAGGTGCCAGACAGGATGCCTTTGATTTTTTGGTTTATTTTTATTGATGAATTAATCACACAAAAAAAACAACCATATTCACTGTCATTAAGTAGGAATGGGTATGTGATTTTTCAGTGAGTGTAAATGATTAGGTAACATCTGATATATATATGAAGTGCTACTAAAAACTACTTTATCATCATCATCATATGAAAAGATTTGTAATCAGTACTTGAGCATCATGCCGTTTTCCTCCTTGTGAACATAACTTTTAGGGTATATCTATAGACAGACACATAGATACAAGGGAAGAGTGCACAATATCCAAAATAAATGTTTGTAGATATAGATATTGTGAACATAGAAATCAACACTAAATGGTGATATTATATATATATAATACATACACACAAAACCCAAAATGCCATGAAATTAGAGGCAGTTACATAATAATTAGGAGATCCTTCCTTTGACTGAATAACAGTGTATATATAATTTGACATTAAGTCTAAGGTATACTGGATTCATTGTTTCTCTATTCAGACAAGAAATTGAATAAGATCTGCAACATGACCATACAAGCCTAAGAGTTAACAGAATATCTGGAAGTTATCTCATGGAATCAGTTTTGGAGAAGTGCCTGCCTTATTTTTCTGGAACAAAGTATCATCACTTGGAAACAAAGACATGAAAAGTATATGTAATAAGATCTGTGTATGTATACACGTGGTACTTTTGAATTATGACAGAATACACTCCACTCGATTATAAAGCCACCACCATCTTGCACAACACCCTGTTGACAGGCTGTATCCACAGACTCATACAGTTTCCTATACTCATAAACTGCCGAAGAGCTGGAAATGTGACTAGTCAGACAAGTTTTCCATAGTTCAATGGCAATATTCTCTGTTCTGGATGAGGTGCAGTAAGTGATGCTATGGTGACAATAGTGGTACCCTTGTTTGTCAGCAATTACAAAACCTTACAGCATATGGTGTACAGTGTATTGAGTGTTGGTTTAAGAGCCACCAGTGGTGAATATAATAAGTGGAATATAATTTGATGCAATATTTTCTTTCATTGGCTGCTTTCTGCTTGTCAGTGGCCCTGTTTTTGTATCATCAGTTTTCACATGCTGCTGAAGTACCATGAACTTTTAAAAGTATTCATAATTCCTAATTGGTAACTTTTTTTTCTTTGCTCCCTCCCAGTACTCCCCTGTCTCAGTGAGAGGTGTGTGGCATGCAATGTGGTGCAGTTGTAGGTCAATTTTCATGGGAGGCAGAGGACTATCCATTTTTGGGAATCTGAGCTCCCATTTTTGGGAATCTGAGCTAACACAGTTAAAAATCTATAGAGAATCTTTCTGGCTTTAACAATCTTTCCACTGTTAAATAGTGTTAAATCCTGTCCATGTACCATTGTGCCACAACTACACTACCTTTTTACTTATTACATTACATATTCATCATCTGGCTGAATCCATATCTACAAGTGGGCAAAGGAGGTGAAAACATCCAGTGTACTGCAGTTTCTAATTTCTTGGCATTTCAGTATACATAAAGCAAGAAGGTAACTGAGTGGCCAAAACCCAAAGACTTACCCAGGTGGTTGTTCTTGTATTATGATCAATAAAGAAAGGTCTTTCATTGGGGGCAATTGACATGGCCCAACCAGCAGGCAAAGGTTCCTCACTTACATCACTGCTTGACTGCAAAGAGATGAGAGAAAACATTAAATATGAAGATAACTGGAAGACAAGGGACTCTGTCTTAGGTGGCTGATACAGCGAATGTTTACAATGTAGTTTTTGGTTTGGGCTAATATTCTGATTCAATAAAAATACATTATTTGTAATTAAATATATATTACAAAAATATGTTAAAAATTAAGCTATATTTTTTTTTTGCATATACAGAAGCTGATGTATTGAGATGCTTATTAATTGATAAAAATGCATTGTAGACCAAAAAGGTAAATAAGCAATGCATTGGAAGATATTTGTTTAGTCACATTTAAAGAACAAAAAAAAAAAAAAATCTCATAAAGTCCCATAAGTAGCCAGAACAAAATCATGGTAAAATCTAAAATGCATGACATTTAAGAATTTCATATTGGAAGATTGGATGTGCAGGTAGCATAACTTATTGTAGAAAGTGAAATCAGCAATAATCTGACAACTCTACTATCATTTGAACCGAGTCAACATTTACTGATCAAATCTAACCATATACAGTTATATGATTACTTGGTGCTGCCATATTTCAGGTTATTTTACTTTTTCATACACTAGTAGTATTGGTTGTAGTAATGTTATCTTGAAGTTTAATTAGATGAAAAACTATAAACATTATTCATTTTTGACTAATCTTTATTTTAGTTGCTTTTCGTTGCTTTCTATGACAATTAGTCAACAGTGTAATTCAGAAATAAAAAGGATGTGACCAAGTCTTGTCTAGAACTTATTCTTTACATTTAATTGTTACATACTGCTTTGTTGTATTCAGTTATAGTTGTCCATATATATATATATATATATATATATATATATATATATATATATATATATATATATATGAATTAGTCATTTCACCTCAAACAAGGCAATAAAGCCACTAAAGCACAAGAGGTGAGAGAATATGAGAAAATAAAACATTATTAAGGAGAGAGAACAATAAAAGACTGAGAATTAAGAAGCCAGAAGATAATGATTGATATTGATCTTTAAAAATTTAAGTGCAAAGTTGACTGGAAAGCAAGTGGTTAGAAGAGATTTATAAATTTGTAAGAAAGGTTGTGACAAGAAAAATTGTCTAGCACAACACAGTGAACCAACTTTCCTAGTAGCAGGCCTAGCAATTGATCTTTTCATCTCATGTTGTGTGTACACTATCCCATGCAGCTGTGGTAAGAAGTATAAAGGAGTAACAGGCTATCCCCTCAAGACTGCAGGAATACTGTAAAGCCTTAACACAAAGGAAAATAGAAAAATCAGGCATAGCTGACCATATATGGAGGGAAAAGATAGATCACCGCCTCCCGTGAGATGAGGTTGAAATAATAGACAGAGAACATAACAGGAAAATAAGAAAACTAAAAGAATCAATGCATATGCTAGGCCACAAAAATCTCCTAAGCCAGCCTAACATAGAAATGAATACAATATGAATACGGTAATACAGAGTGCTATAGAAAAACAACAAAATTGCAATATGAGCTCTGGTAAAAAATTGTACTGAGACATTAGGTTTATAAGTCCCCAAAATTCATACACTGATGTCCTATACATGGATAAAAGCTTTGGTTGAATCCAGTGACTCGATTCAAAGCATTCTGAATTCAATACCTGGCTACAACTGAGGTGAACAAAAAGTTGAGTTAAAGGGAGATAACTGATACGGAGACATCCGGGAGAGGCATGGTACCAGAACAATCTATCCCGGTGGACAAAATAAAGGGTCCAGTCCAAAATTCCAATCACCTGAAGCAGGCCATAACATACAACATTGGGAATATTATAACAGTCCGAACAATGTAAATACTTACAATACCTCATCTCAGAAACACAGACAGATATTTGAGGACATGTTTACAATTATTATGAGTAGAATCAATGAGGTGTCTGTTGTGATTGGAACTATCAAGTTGATACAGCTGGAAAAAGTCATTCCTTGTCTTGTGAATAGGAGGTTCCTGTTTAATAGACATAATATAATAACAGGAATGGAATGTGTGTGTGTATGTGTTTGGGGGGGGGGTGCTACCATACAAAAAATACAAATCGCCATCTGATGCTGGATTTCTGCATCTAAATTTGGTCAGTATACCCTATTACACTCAACTGCTTTCAAGCAATTAATGCCTAGGTTTCTTGTATGTAGATATTTGAAAACAGCTTGTCTGAGATTAGTGAAAAACAATGATGTGATCTGCAAATATTAGGCAGCTATCAATGATGGCTAGTGATTCACTGTGTTAAGTTAAAATGAAGATTGCTGTTGAGGTTAGTTGGTCAGGAGTCTGAATACACTTTGAAAATTAGATGCAGGGACAAAATGGAACTCAGAAATGGTGCTATCAATTGTCTCTGTAATAGTAATGTTGGTTGATTCACTTTTTATAAATATAGCCATAGAAATATTCTAAGATCAAAATTCCATGAATTTTATTTGCTACAGCAAAGTTGGTAATATAATTCGATTTCATGATTAAAATACAAATCATCATTAAATTTTCATATAGTGTTCTAATGGGTTTTGCCATTTGCAGATACATTTGTCCATTATTATTTTTTTTTCTTTGAGCAATTATGTATTTGCTTATTGCTTTTGTCATTGCATTCCTCAATGGCCATACAAAACAGTTCACACTAGAATGAGGCTCTGAGTATCTATATGGAAACTATCCAGATCCTCTTTCAGTCCATTGTCCCTTTTTATCTTTTGTACATTATATAATATTTAAGCAAGCAGCATGAAGTCTCTAAGAATATTTGAACTTGTCTGAATATAAACAATATCTTTACCAATTTAGCCAGACAGCAACCAGTAAGGTAAACCCATATCATTTGAATCTCTACAGCATATTAATAGCTTATAACGTAATAATAGTAGTGAAAATAATAGCCTTTAAATTTCCTTGGATGAAGAATTTTCATGATTTATTTTTCAGTAGTTTATCTTTTATTTTTTCCATTATTTCATTTATTCTTCATACTGTTTATTTAATAGTTGTAGAATGTAAAAATGATATGGGCTTGTTCTTTGTCATCAGGTTTTAGCAATGAATCGCAAGCAAAAATGGAGATTCAACGAAAAGGAAAAAGTAAATTTAATAAGACAAAAAAACTCTAAAAAGAAATTAAAAAAAAATCTAAGGATATTTTTTTTTACTTTACTTACTGTTGGTGGATTCTCAGTTACAAAATATATCTAAACAAAAAATAAAATAAAAAACATAAAGATTTTCTTTCATTCATATAGTATTGTTAGATTCAGTTTTTATCCCACTAATGGAAGAATAAGGGGTTTATGGAGGGTGGTGGTGGTGGAAAGGCTATTGAAAGAAGAAAAGTTATGGTATATGCCAAGATGACCCTCACAAGCTGCAAGCAAAGCATTCTTCAAGATATTCAAGTCTTAGACTCCACACTTGAACAGTTAGTTACAATAGAAGATGCAAAACACAGAAGAAAAATGTTTGTTTTGTTTTTTCTTTTAATGATAAAGATGAGAAAGAGAATAAAGTGTGAAAAGTCTTTTTGCCATTAAATTAAAACATTGAGTAAAATCTTTTAAAATAATTACTATAGCTATCTTCTTTTTTTTGTTAATATTAAATGTGTTAATATGAAGAACACAATCACATAATCAAAGAAAAATACAATTCCTTAAAAACACATTTTCTTTCTTGTGAATAGAATAATTTATATTACTTAAATTGGGATTACATATCCAGACATACTTAATGTGAGACATGACAAGAACTCTGCCTGTCTCATAGGATCTAACTCCCAGGCAATATTTCCTATTGCACTCATTGGATAGGTCCAGAATTAGGTATAAATTTTTTGCATTAGTTACATATGTGTAAGGGCCCACACATTAAACCTAGACTTGGGTCATATTTGCTCTCAGGGGAAAGCACATACCAGCTAATTAAAAAATTGGATGATTCAAATATTTAAACAAGTTATATTTTTCATCCAACTATCTACAGATATCACTTGTCCATAGCTGTAAATCAAATATTTCATATATTTACAATTACCAAATACTATCTAACATAGGATTGTGTTGTTAAATTTATTAAAAAATATTAAAGCTATTATAGAATGGTTTTAAATCAAAATATCACAATATTGAAAGTTTAATGTTTCTTACCAGTAAGAATAATATATTTTGTGTCATTTTACCAGCTTGGGATCATTTTAACAATTAAAGCAATCTATTTTTCTTAATATTTGGACATTATCTTAAAGTATTAGTTTCATTGTTATCACTCAAAATGATTCAAGATGACTTCTACATAAAAAGCAGATAAATAAATTTAGTATCATAAATAATAAAAAAAGATTTATTAAAAGAAGAAAGTAGAATCTATAAAAAAAACAAGATAATGAACCCATTGATCTCTTGGAAGATAAATACTGACATAAGAGAGAAGTGCACATCTAGAATTAAAATAAAGCAAAACCAATTTTTTTTATTAATTTCCTAAGTAAATACATCTTTTAGCAACTTAAAAGAAATATTTTAAATAGATATTATCATCAATGTTGATAATATAAAAGAAATGTTTGGTTTTGTAGAAGAATGAAACAGTCTTACATAAAAAAGAACTGTAAATATACAATTGAGGTCCTCCGTCAGTTTTACATCAACTAGACAGCTTATCTCTTGATATGCTTTGATTGGTGTGAACAAAATCTGGGAAAGGCCTGGTGTCTACTCAACAAATGAATAGAAGATGAAATATTGACAAGAAAAGAAAACAAATCTTGTTTTCAATATATGAGCTTCTTTATACAAGGAGGTAGGTAACATTTAGGACATCTTTGCTGTTACTTTTGTTTTCTCTTACAAGAGACTAATGAACCAGATCTTACCTTCAGCAAATAGGGAATTCCATCTGCCATCAACTCTACATCTCTCTCTTGCTCTCTCCTTTCATACTGATTGCCTATGACTTTACATCTCCACCAATATTTTGTGACTAACCTGTGACTGCTGAATTTCTCCTATTGCCCCTCTTTACATCACAATAGATAACTTATTTCTATCTCTCTATACTTCAACAGAGAACTCATAACTAGAATACAACCAGATTATATAAGCCCACAACCAGAATTCTCTACTTTCAGTCTGAGTAGCACTTGATTCTGAAAGTTTTCATTTATTATTTATTTCCTTATCACCCTAGTTGTGGACAGCAAGTGGTTTTGAAGATCTCACATCTAGATCTTACAGCTGGTTTTCATAAAACACTAGTTGCCTCAGTCCTAAATAAAATCATTCACAACCTACTTGGTTATGAGTAGGTCCTGAGACAATCAAATGTGGGCTCAATGCATCACAGAATTACTATTTTATAAAAAAATTACAAAATTATTAAAATATATAAACCAACAACAATAGAATACTTGCAGTAAAAATTACAGACATTTTGTAATCAAACAAAAGGAAAACTTTGTCCATCTAATGAATAGGGAGATACATACTCAAAATATTAAGTATTTGTGATCTCACTTAAAATCTAAAATTGAAAGAAAGAATGTTTGGTTCAGAGGAAGAGATGCTCTGAACCTATTTTAGTGAATTTATGCGATAAGAGCAAATGAAAGAAAAGTCCTAAAAATGCATTTTTTCAAAATTTATAATTCCAGTTACTTGTCATTATGTGTTTATTTAAATTTTCTTGTTCACAGACATTTTTATAAATCTATGAATAACAATTTCTTTTCATATTTATTTCTTTGTAAGATGGTAAATAATAAATATTTCATTATAGTTCATTCACATATTTTTATAATGTAAATATAAAATTATTCTTGTAAATAAGCATCTAATAAATAAATAGTGTTTGATATCTTTGTTGTCAATTGTCAGGAATAAAGCAAATGTACAAATCCACTTTCATATGTTTGGGTTTTATCAAAATTCTAATAATCGCTTTTTAAAACAAACATTACCAAGGGAGTAAAAAAAAATCAACAAAAAGAATGGTGTAATAGTGGTGTCAAAGGAATGACCATTCTTTTGACAAGTTTTTTTTTTTTTTTTTTTGAGAACATAAAAATTAAAAATTGCTGCGTAGATTGTGTGCTTGTTTTAGTATTATTAGTATGCAATGGTCATGAAGCAGTGCAAATTAGCTGCTAACAGGCAATGCCATGTTTAGACAGATCAGTGACTTAAACCATGCTACATGAACACACTCCACACCATTATGGAACCATCACCAGCTTTTGTTGATAACTGGGGTCCATGGACTCATAGTGTCTGCATCACATCAGAACCCTACCATCAACCTGAAACAATTGGAACTATAACTCATTGATATACATTACCATTCTTCTAGGGTCCAATTAGCAACATCAAGAGCCTAGATTAGGTACTTTTTCTAGTGCTGATGGTGTGCCATAGAAGATAAAGAATGCTGACGTAGCCTGCTGGATATACATCTGGTAGCTCCTGCATCGATTTGAGCCAAACACCTCAATATCCATGGTTGACCACTGTGCTGTCTACAGTCAATAGTAATGCTTTCCATCAAATATTCTTAGTACACAAGGGACAATGTAGATAGATGTTAAATGTCCTGACAATTTCAGACACAGAATGTTGTATCTGTCTGGCAGCAACTATCATGCTCCATTCAAATTCCAATAATTCATGTTGCCTTACCTAAGTAGCCTAGTTGGTGTTCACATCAAGTCAATAGATATTAGAGTCCAACTGATATGTCTTGGCATTCCCTATTCAAGCAAAGTATGAGGAGAAAATGCAAGCTGGAATGGATCAGGATTGGCTTCTGCTCTATTTTGAGTAAGAACTTTAACCTCCCAAAGAGCTTGGTAGCAGTGTATCATATTGGTAGGTGCAGCAATTGAGGACAATATGTCATCTTTTGACATAACATTGTTCCAATAAACTGCATCCTTATTGTACACTGCATTTTTGCAATCTTTTTCACAGTTCCATGGCATCTCTCAACTATGCCATTCCCTGGAGGCACATACAGACATCTCAGCCACAGCCTGATACCCCATTCATCTAAAAACTGCCTAAAGTGTTGGCTGCAGAAGGCTGTGTCATTATCAGTGAGTATCTCACAGAATACAGATTCCAACTGTGAGATAATACTTGTAGCGTCTTGCCAAAATAGCATGAGGTAAATAGCAACAGCAAGGTTCATATCCAAAAAAATCATAAGTCCGAGGTTGTAATTCCAAGTATCAAAAATCAATCTCATAAGTCCAATATCAGAAAATACTGGGGCTATAAATCAATATGGTAAAAATTCACATCACAACTCCCTCTTCATCCATGAAAAGCCAAGCAATCCTGTGTTTCACTAACATTCCTTTATTGTAAAAGTAAGAAAATTTGTGATTGGTCAAGACTGGTAGGGAAGCACACGCTATTACCATATTTTGAGACCCATTAAAATCACCCCTATTTTGATTCTGATTTTCTTTTTTAACAGCACAAAGAACACAAATTCTTTTTCAAGGTAAGACTTGGTTTTCTCTTTTGTCACTACACCATATGTGTTAACATTAACTTTATATATTGTTATCCCATAACTCTTGGCTTGTCTGTGTATGTAGTTAATATTTTTTTATTTTTACTAATAGGTGATGTAAATATATGTATTATTGTTTTTCATAATTTTTTCTTATTTATAGTTTTTGTAATTATTATTATTATGATTACAATAGTATAAATTAATGGTTTTTGTCAAGATTTTTGTTTGTATTGTTATGTAATAATGCAATTAAATTGGAGCCAATAATCATAAAAGAACTACTAGATTTGATGTTCCAAAACTATGCATTGACTGATACTGAATATGGTGAGTTTATATATACCTCAACAGAAGAACTTTTAAAAATAAAGTAGACACATGAGGAAGGCCCATGTGTAAAGCAGCTGAAATATCAATTTTTGTTGCTAAGAAAATTTTAGTTTGAATAAATTAATATATCAAGTACTATCCAAAAATTCAGGGAATTTGAACAGACGACATGCTTAATGTAATATGAGTTACTGCTAGTATCCTTTGAGAGCCTGGGAATAAACAGAAGGTAAGGGGTCCACTTTAAAGGGGAATGGTGGAAATTAAGTATTATGAGTAAGCAATTTTTTTTTTTCATAGTCAATGGCTTTGTGCAGCTATATGAAAAGAAAAAAAAATACCTTTTTTTGCC